GAGAGAGAGAGAGAGAGAGAGAGAGAGAGAGAGAGAGAGAGAGTTATCCCTTGAGGGTATAACTGTTGAAGCCAAAGAACAGGATATGTAACATAAAACATTTTCAAAGTCAATTTATTTTTTTAAATTTCATTGATTTTTATTGAGTCTTACATTTTTCTCTGCTCCCCTCCCTGTCTCTCCCCTCACCCTCAACCCTCTCTCAAGGTCCCCATGCTCCCAGTTTACTCAAGAGATTTTGTCTTTTTCTACTTCCCATGTAGATTAGATCCATGTCTGTCTCTCTTAGAGTCCTCATTGTTGTCTAGGTTCTCTGGGGTTGATTTGTAGGCTAGTTTTCTTTGCTTTATGTTTAAAAACTACTTATGAGTGAGTACATGTGATAGTTGTCTTTCTGGGTCTGGGTTACCTCACTCATGATGATGTTTTCTAGCTCCATCCATTTGCCTGCAAAATTCAAGATGTCGTTATTTTTTTTCTGCTGTGTGGCACTCCATTGTGTAAATGTACCACATTTTCCTTATCCATTCTTCGATTGAGAGGCATTTAGGTTGTTTCCAGGTTCTAGCTATGACAAGCAAAGCTGTTATGAACATAGTTGAGCACGTGTCCTTGTGGCATGATTGAGCATCCTTTGGATATGTACCCAAAAGTGGTATCACTGGGTCTTGAGGAAGGATGTTTCCTAATTTTCTGAGAAATCGCCACACTGACATCCAAAGGGGTTGTACCAGCTTGCACTCCCACCAGCAATGCAGAAGTGTTTGTTCCCTTTTCCCCACAACCTCTCCAGCATAAGTTGTCATCAGTGTTTTTGATCTTGGCCATTCTTACAGGTGTCAGATGAATCTCAGAGTTGTTTTGATTTGCATTTCTCTGATGACTAAGGATGTTGAGAATTTCCTTAAGCAAAGTTACTTATTTCTAGGGTGGTATTTAGACACTGGGAAATTATTTTCATCAGTATTTTAGCCTCGTGTTCACTTAGCATGTGCAAAGCAAAACTTCCTTCTATTGCTGGCTAGTGCAGTGCACATCAGGCCTTGAGCCGTCTCTCCTGATGTCTGGGGGGAAAAACTCTCCCAATGAGTTGCAGTCACAGTAAATTACACATTCCTCAATCTCTCTCTCTCTCTCTCCCACCCCCCGTGTGTGTGTGTTTGTGTGTGTGTGTGTGTGTGTGTGTGTCTTTGTCTCTCCATGCATTAAGTCAGAGGGCAACGTGGGAGAGCTGGTGCTCTCCTGCCCTGTGAGTCCCAGGAATCAGCCTCAAGTCCTCAGGTGTGGTGGCAGGTGCCTCACCTTTTGAGCCTGCTCACCAGTCCCTAAATTGTATCTTTTTAAGTTAATCCTAAAAATTCTCCAAAAGTGTACACAATCTAATTCGTTATAACATCACCGAAATGAAGACTGCTTAATAAATGTTTGCTATGTCATTTTTAGTTGTTCAGTCTCATTTTCAGTAACAATGAGTAATTTCTTCCAGAAGTTCTTATTCCTGGCTCCCTGCAGAATAGGCTCAAAAGGATTTTTTGTCTTGTTCAGATAATTATAATCCCCAATTTTTTAACCTAGGCAAATATCCACTCTAGGTTTATGATTAATGTTGACCACAGCAGAACCGCATTTACCTGGCAGGAAAATAAAACATACAACGGGGAATAACTAGGAGTAACTATTCAAGGGAGAATTAAACTTCATAAACAAGACACGTCAAACCCATCTGCTTCTTTTCAATATTAGAACAATCACAAACAGTCTCCAACTGATGCCAATGACAAGCTGCCGTTTTTAAAACTGATTTAAAAGGCGTTTAACCAAGAAAGGGAATCTAAGGAAAACCACTGGTGTGGTTATCAAGTGTGCTTTTAATTACACCGTCTAAGTTACAACAACGAAAGAATTTAGATTTCAAATGGGAAAAAAGAGAGGTGGAAACAGCTCAGTCACTAAAGTGCTTGCTGTGTAAATAGAGGCCCAAGGGTGACACCCAGCACCCATAGCATGGGGGTGAAGAAACAGGCAGGGGGATCCCCATGTTCACTGGACAGCCTGCTTCCTAACCACTGAGGAATGATACCTGACGCTGTCCCTCCCCCTCCCCCCAACCATTTAAAAAGAAGAAAAAGACAATGAGAGAGAAAGGAAGGAATTTAAGTCTTACCTTAAAGATCAGATAAGAAGAAACGGGGGACTGGGGGCTGTCACTCAACTCTAGAATACTAAGCACGCACAAGATCAAGCCCCAGTATTACCAGTTATGGTGCCACACGCCTTTTAATCCCCACACTTGGGAGGCAGAGGCAGGGGATTTCTATGGGTTCAAAGCCAATTTGGTCTATATATTGAGTTCCAGGCTAGTCAGGGCTACATAGAGACCCTGTCTCAAAGGAAAACAACAAAACAAACAAAAAACAATACAGCAAATGGGAACTAAAGTAGGCCAAGCTACCATCTCACTGGCATGAAGGAACAGGAGCTTCTTGTTTCCGAAAATACATCGATCGTACAGATGTGCTGACCTTGAGGCTGTCCACTTGCTCACCACCACAGCAACTGACTGATGTCACAGGCTGACAGGTCACTCCAGGCATTGTTGGCATCCTGACAGGTAAGTAACCCACTCACTCTCTTCCTATTCAAACAAGTCACAATGCAATAAAGTGGACAAAACAAACTTCAATCTCACCTAACCCTATAGAATGAATGCGACCTACACGGACATAATAGTTACAGATAACTATTATGAGTTAGTTATCTGTAAAGGCTGTCAGACACGACACAGCAGTTACAGCAGAGAACGATGCTAAAACCCCTACCCCGCTGTGGGAAAGGACCACTGGTGTTCTCACTGTGGAGACCTGGTATAAGCTGTCACTTCTTTCAGGGACAAGCTCATAAATGGCCAGGAAAGAATGAAGGGTGCCCACAGGTCAGAAGGGGAGGCTGCAGGCAGCAAGGATGCCGACCCGTGCAAGTTCACATTGCTGGTGACTTAGCTGTACCTCACAAGAGGCAGTAACTCTTCCTGAAGCAAAAGCAACTCAGTAAAGTGTTCATTCATTCCTTGGATGAATACAGAAATACAGGATGGTCATTTTCTTAAATCTTTATTTACCTTCTAGCTTCAGCTAATCCAATTTGAAGCTAGTGACACAGGAGAGAAGGGCAGAGAGGGTTTTCCTTGTTCTCAGTAAACCTTATTTTGGTCCAGGGGCTTCAGAGAAGCTTCTAGTCTGCTCCCTGGCCTCAGCACAGAACCAGGAGATGGTTTATCCTGATGAAGTACTCTACCCACAAACACCCAGGGCGCCAGTGTTTATTTCAGTTACTCCTATGTCAAAGTCCTTATTTCTCCAGAACAGCAATGCACTTTACTATCCATTCTCTCCAATCCTTAAAGGCTTCCACAGGTTTCGGCAAATTCACATGGTCAGAACTATTTCTGGGAGTTGCTCTTGATGTGTCGTTAGGTTCATCGTCAATCCATCTCAGCAGTGCCTGGAAAACACAAACACCGCATTTCAACAAAACAGTCTCAGGCACAATAGCCAGTACCAGAGTGAGGTTTTCTAAATCCGCGGCTGTGCCCCCCATGAACAGTCTGAATCTGATGGAGTGGGCTAGGAGTACAAGACATGAGTGAACACTGAGAGAAACAGCATGGACCAAAACTATAGAGAACATAACCAAAAACTATGGTCAAAAGTAAACAGGAGCCAGGTATGGCTCCTTGCGTCTATAACCCCGACACTCAGAAAGGCTAAGGAAGGAGGATGGCTACAAGTTCGTAGCCACTTTGGGTTACATGGTGAACTCCAGACCAGCTCGGGGGACATTATGAAACCCCACCCCACCTCAAAAAAAAAACAAAAACAAACAAACAAAAAACCTGAAAACAACAAAAAAATATGCAGAGGAATTCTTACGCTATTTTTAGAATGACAAGGTAATTTTAATTTCTTTTCTCCATTTGTTTATTCTATAAGACACTGTGCTGTGCTTTTAGCTTAATGCACATGTGCACGTAACATAACTATACCCTATAACTATACCCTAAGGCAAGGGCAGACATGTATGTGAAGACACAGGACGGAGATAGTCAAGTGCTGTCCCTGCATGAGCAGGCAGACCACAAGTAACCGCCGGGATGTGGATGTGTACTGATGTGTGCACAAGGATACCGGGTGTCATCTCTCTTCTTTTTTTCATTTTTTTG